CACTCATTGCTAATGCAGTCGATACCGCGCCTACTCCAAAACATGATGCTTCAGCGGCTGAATAGTGTAGAGCCAATAAAATGTGCAAAGCAATTTATTCAGACATGATACTTCACCCCTCTCTCTCTCTCTCTCTCTTTTATGTCCTAATCTCACTCCCAACTCCTGTAAACCCATAGGCTAAATCTGACAGGACCAAAATGAAATCTAAGGAAAGCTTCTGATACCTGTACTTAAGTGGAAAGCAGAGCGAGACAAGGGCATGGCTCGCATCTGTTAGTCTTGAGTAGCTCTCTGACAAGAACAGCACCTTGTGATCCGACAGTATTGCTGACAGCAATGTCAGCGAGTTGTGGATACCTATGAATATACGATGCACATGAAACTTTTCCTGTTATATTCGCACATTGTCTATCTTTGTCACTATGTTATTTTCAATTTATCATCTCTTAACTTATGAATTCTTATGTTCTTCTTCCCTGCTATACTTGCAGATTTCATTCCCTATGATTATCTTACTGATACTTTATCAAAATATATGACTCTTAATTTATTACTGATTAAATATGAGCAAGGACCTACAAAAAGGTCAAAACCACCTCTCAGTCACAATGACCTACAAAAAGGTCAAAACCACCTCTCAGTCACAATGCACCGCTTAATAAACTGCATAAACATACAATATACTTGCCACCGGCAAAAATCTGTTAAATAGTGACAAACTTAATTTTTTTTCTGCATTAATTCTTCTCTGGACTATTATAATATTCGTTTGCAATCGAAATTTGCCCTCACAAATGCTGTCTCTAACATTGACAGTATTTACTCACCCATCTGATGAAAAAACGTGTACACGGATGTATGCGTAACAGGGAGACTAGATGACAGTGGTGGCTGGAGTGCCTGCCGATCACCAGCACCGATGCTAAAGCGAACTTGTGGGCCGCCTGCAAAGCCAGATAAGTCTGCATGTTATCACGTTTACCATCATTATCATTAACAACATCCTCGTCAGCATCATAATACCAGTTTAACATCAGCATTTCCATTCTCATCATTTCTGCAAGAAAACAACACATGGCTTCATTTTTTTCCCATATAAAACGATGTCATGGAGAAGTATTGCCTTTCAATAAGCCAGGCAGAGTTACGTACAGCTGACTAGTGCAGCTCTTCATGCCACTCAAGCTTCTCATTCAGTCTCGTAAATATAGTAACATAACATCTCAACTCGGTTTGTTGCGAGAAAAGCAAGCCGAAACACAAAACTGAATACCAAACAAGCAGGGCGGGCCGCGGGTATGAATAATAAGACTGCATCATCCAGATGGCATTTGCGCTGTACAGTTCACTGACGCAGATGGGGTCGTTGTCGTATCAGGTACTACAGATATGTACCCGAGGTAGTTTTAGGTTGTTTAGTATTATGTTTATATTTTTATATAATTAGGAGGTAGTTTTAGGTTGTTTAGTATTATGTTTATATTTTTATATGAGGTATGTTTAGGGTTAGGGTTAGGGATAGGGTTAGGGTTAGGGGTAGGGTTAGGGTTAGTGTTAGGGTTAGGGTACACTTCTGTAGTACAAGTCTGGACTGTCTGGTACACTTTGTGTATTCATATATGTACCTCGGGTACATATCTGTAGTACCTGATACGACAACGACCTCTTGAGCTTCACTGACCTGGGACACACTGTGCTAACACTGATTGGGAGTTGACTGAAAGTAGCCTACTGCAATGTACACCTTCATTACCAATAAACCTGCTCTGATATTCCAAATATCGAGGATGAGGAGCAAATGACTTCTCTGCCTGGAGTGACCGACAAGCAATATAGGGTAAATTTTAAAAAGCCGCTTAGAAACGAAAAGCTCCAAAGTTAACTATTTTGAATGCATGCATGGAAAACGTTTACAAAGGGGTGTAGCTTTACGGATTTAGAAACAATGTCCAAGGGAGTATGGTTACCTCACTAAGCCAGATTGGTTCATTGCTGTTGTGTTGCCCTCAAGAACAATGTCACGTGATAGTGATCAATGTCAACATGAAGTCATGTGATAGTAATCAAGGTCAATATGAAGTCATGCGACTGTGATTGTGGTCATTATTAAATCATTTGATTCGGATCTAGATCAGAATAAGGTAATGTGACTGAGATCAAGGTCAGATTAACCAAGGAGTTGCTCACGTAACGAATCATCAATGGTGGTATTAACTCTCATAATTACTCTGTTCATACCTGGGGAAGGGACTTGAATGCAGCCAAGGATGTTGCCGACCAACGTCTCCAGCTGTATGGGCATGTTCTCTATGTACACTGTGTAGATGATCCCTATACAGTTCTGAAAATAAAGCAAAACCTGGCTGACAAGAATTTTTCACAAATGCCTAAAATAAGGAAAAGCAAAAACGGTGCGTGCTCTATCGCAAAACATCTGATGATGACTTTTTATGCAGTTAGTTGAAAGTAATAGATGAAGAAGGGGAATGAGGAGACGGATAAGAAGAGATGGCGGAAAGCTGAGAAAAACTGGTGAGCTTCTTCCTCACAGCACAGCAAGGCAACACGTGATGTTTAGCCTCCCCATAGTGCCTCTACCTACATGGTAGGTTACTTGAGCACTCATCTAACATATATTCTTTCACAAAAATGTACGATCTGCTGCATTCACAGCCTCACAATTTCATTATAATTCACAACTAATTTCCCTCCAGCAGTCACTACTTGCTAAGTGAGATGACTGCATACCTCTATCAAGCAAGTAACCTAGATCGTGACATTTTATACTGGTGCGATTGTAGCAATATGAATTCGGTAAATGATGAACAGATTCCTTCTCTATAAATCTTGATTGCACACCACTACAACTTATACCCCAAAATCAAAAATAACTTCAAAATAACAACCCATGAAACAAGCCAATGAGTAAGAACAATGCTTGCAATATCACATTTCATAACAACGTGTTTTTCCTTCAGAGCGTGGTCACGCGTAGCAAGGCTTACACAGATGTAGACCATCCCTATTGCTGCTGCTACCCAAAACTACTGCTACTGCTGCTGCTACCCCAAACTGCTGCTACCCAACACGCCGCAAGCAGGAAACACATCAACTACTGCAGCGTGCTAGTTTTCTCATTCTGCATGATCGTTCGTGCATCTCTCGTTCGAGTTTTCTCATCGTGCTACTGCATGTTCACTCTTCTGTTTGGTTCTGAGCAACTTCATTTGTATTCAGTACAATTACAACACGCATCTACATACATTTGTAATTATATGGTGCAGCTACAGTGTTCTGAGGAAGAATAAGTAATTAGCAAATGTTTGCCAATAACAGCTAATGCTAATAATAGATGCTGTTTGTGCGTTCCTAAAAACGTTTCTAAAATGTTCATGTACGTTGGTGTATCGAAATCCCTTTCCTATAGCACGACCACCAACAGGCAGAATTCACTAAATACAGATTCGTGTAGTAGAATTTGTATAATATTACTTCTTCATCGTAGCAAAGCTTTCACATATTTACAGTTTACATTTTTACAGGTTCAACGTGGCACTGCCATGCTTAAAAATTCAAACCGTAACACGAATTTTGTACCCAGACACAGGTATGCATCTCTACTTGTTTCTCGTTTATCTGAGTTATCCGTAATTAGCAATGCTCTGGAGGGTAATTAGTTAACCATATTAATTTTTTTTAAGTAATTCTATCATAAAGGCTAGAGCTGCTGGCCGAACATCGATGATAAAATGGAACTTCATGTCTACGTATTGTGAAGGTTTTTACTGTTACAAAAATGTATCATTGTCACTATCCATCCCTGCGGTCTTTTTCTCCTAACTCCATGCTTCTCTTGGAATGATGTATGCACAGTTCATGGTTTTGGTAATGATCCAGACACGGAGTCTGCGCGCTAGGTCAGGGACTCCTGTATCGCGAGATATTTGTGTGACCACGCATTTTAAAGCAAACACTTAGCTTCTTGGATCTGAACCATCATGCAACAATATTTGCAGCAGTGGCACCAAACTACCGCAGAGTAGTATGTAATCGCCCACTCTATCGCTGTGCAATGCTTCTGTTCTACCACTGTTGGTCACTACTCCCAAAACAGCTCAAATCAATCTCACATGTGCAGGACCTAGTCTCTCAGCATGTGGTAGCCGTAAGTCACCGAAATCATTAGCAGCTGTGGCTACTGTTTACCAGCTGAAGTTCCTTCACCCAGTCACAAGCTCGCAAACTTTAACTACTTTCCCATATATAAAAGTTGACTGTAGATTGAAATGCATGAAACTGGCCCGAGTTATAAATGTGGATGCGTTATTTTCTTGAGAGAATACAGGGAACAAGCGTCACAGATGCCGCTATATATTACATTCTATACATATAACAATAAACATGATTATACCCTGATTATACTGAAATGATTTACAGCATGTATACATGTACACGACACGATTTATACATGAGTATAAATGTGTTTATGATATTATTACGTGGACTAAATCAGTGCCATTCTCTGGCCTGCAACAGTGTCTTCTACCACATGGCGTGACATGCCAGCTGCATTTCCCAGTATCTTCATAAAATATTTCAGTGCCTCCTCCTGTCTAGATTTTAATTTACCCAGGAACGCCTACTAGACAAGTAACTTGCATCTCCTGCTCACCCACTCCACCCCGCCCCCACATACCACTCCTACCCTCCTACACCATCTGCTACCTTCCGACACCACCCCCTACCCTCCTACACCATCTGCTACCTTCCGACACCACCCCTACCCTCCTACACCA